GAAGGGCTTAATTGCTTTGATCCCCGAGTTCAAGGGCTTATATGCATCAATTACAGTCTAGGGGCTTAATAGCGATTCTGGGGTTGGTTCAGGGGCTTAACTTATGGTTTTGCCCCTTCTTTTCTCTTTTTTTAATTTTTTTTTTATTTTTTTGGTTTGTTTGTTTAAATGGGGTTTGGGTAGTTGGTAGGCTTGGATTTTTGGGTTTTGAGTTTTGGGTTTGGGTAATTGTGAGTTTTGGATTCTAGGTTTTGGGTTTTTGTGGGTTTTTGGGTTTTTGTCTTTGGGTTTGAATTTGGGTTTTCGTGGGTTTTTTGGGTTTGAGGCTTAAAATTGAAATGGGTTGGTGTTGGATTGGATTTGGTTTTAATAGGCTCAACAATGGGATTTGGGCTGGGTCTGCAAATTAATCTTGATGAATTTCTTCCCTCCAACTTTTGATTTCTTCAACTGAGTCCTTTCTATCATCTTCCTTGCACATCCCCTTCACAAAATTTCCTTTTTTGTTTGCAAACCTAACAAGAAAAAGAAAGGCAAACATATTAGTTAAACATAAAAATAAAACTAAAATAAAATTCTATTAAAAATTTAAATTATGACATATATATACATAAAATATATACCAGTGTTTATATACTCATGTACAATTAGTTGAACATAGATACCAAAAACATCAAATATCAATATGTGATTAGATGGGTCAGATCCAAGCCCTCCATAGAAAGACCACCAGTCTAGCTTAGGGCAAAGCCTACAGATGAATGCTATTGGCTAAGTAAGCATATATGCTCTTGCAACCTCTTATCAAAAGTTGTCTTCATCTCTTATGCTCTGTGATACCTTTGATGAAATTGACTTTGCCACCTCCATCTAAACTTGGTTTGCCACTTCTTGCCAAACCTACGTAAGCTCATGCTACAATTGTTGGATTCATGACCTAAGCATCTTGGTGGTAGAGAACAAGATCTCGCTAATCTCATATTGTCACTAAGACATGCTGTGCTTTGCTGAGTCCTGTAGGCTACACATTCCTCTTATCTAACTCTTTTTAGGAGGTCCAACCACTTTTTTCCAGAGAAGTGGATCCCATTGTGGCCATAAATTCTTGTTTCACCTATGCTTCTCCATGTACACTCAGTGGACATCATTTTGTTTCAAACATAAATTCTCATTAATTAGAATTATCAAAATTCTATTAAAATTAATTATAACAAATGTATGGGGAATTGGATACTTACATATATCTACTTTTCCTCTAGATAGACCCAAACAGGTGGGGTACCTTTTGAAGCATTTGACCAATGGATTGTGAGTCAATAGGTACGACTCTAGCAGTGCAAGCCTAACTCCCCTTCTCTTGGCTGCTTGTTAGGAACATAAAATAAAATTAAATCTTTATCACTTTTAACGTTGTACATAATTAAAATTATATATAAAAGCATATTCTACAATCCAATCAATCCTCACAGATCCCAACTGCAATGCATCCAATCGCATGGGTCATGCAGGCACCCCTTGCCCAATTCATCCAACAAATGCAAGGCAAGCCATTTTGAGCTTATCCACTTTGCAAGCAAAATCTTGAAGGTCTCTCAAGCAAATTTTTCTCATCTATCATCTCTTTCAAACTAGATGAAGCTTGTCGTGAAAACAATTCCAGTAATATAATCGCCAAATTTTGTACATGAGAGCCTCATCCTCCTCCTAACAGTATGTCCTCTATAAGATAAAAATTAATTAAATTAATTGATAATACATTTAATTTTATAAAAAAAAATAGACAGAGTTCCACCTAAAATATAAACTTCCCTCTACTACCAAAATAACACAAAACATCTAATAACATTCAATGCCTCCATATTAAAATTAAAATATTCAAATTCTAACCATCAAGGTACATCTCCAAAAGAAGATGTGGCTAACAAGTCAAAGCCGCAAGAATTCTGAATAGAACCATGAACCCAAGGATTCCCATCTCTCATTATATTTGCTGTAGCTCGGAGGAAGATTAAAAATAGCATAACCCCCAAGGAGTGAGGCACCAAACAGTTTATTTTGTAGTGTTAAGCAATGCTTTTATTAATTTTCCTTCCCTCTTTCATTTGTAATGATTTAGTTGATAAGCCATAAACTGATTAGTGATCACTATCTATTTAATTCCCCTTTCTTTCTATTTTAATTATTCCATTTTCAACTACTTCTATTGCAGAGTAATAATCTTTAATACAAACTTTTCAACAATATAACATAAGAATCTAAATATTTTCCAGCTCATCCACATCAAAAATCTATTATTATTTAATTATATTTTATTAAAAAAATGTAAATTTTCGTCTACAATATTAACTTTCCCCTTTTACCAACGTAATACAAAACATATAAAAATATCCAACGCATCCTTCTCAAAATCAAAATATTCAAATTCTAACAATCAATGTAACTCTAAAATAAAAAATTTCCAACAACACAACATAAGAATCTAAATATTTTTAACTCATCCATGTCAAACTCTATTATTATTTAATCGTAATTTTATACTTGAAAATTCTCCCAGGCAATCCTTTTTTTATCCTTTGGTCATGTGGACCAAAAAAGCACTGGAGTATCATATAGAAACTTCCATAGAATCGTAGCAGTCTCGCCAAATCTCTCATGACTGAAGGTGCCTCAGTGATTTATGGTAAGCAACTTCTTCTGGCTTAGGTTTGATGGGGGCTCGTGTCCCTTGTCCTTGCCACACCTAGTCTACTGAATAGCTTGAGAAAGCTCTTCCTCTAGCTGAGCATCTAAATCAAGATCAAATTCAACAAACTCTAACAACTTCAGGAGAATAGCCTGAGAAAGCTCTTCCTCCAGCTGAGCATCTAAATCAAGATCAAGTTCAACATACGCTAACAACTTCAGGTTCTCTCATTTCCTACATTTACATTCACAACAAAGACACTTGATCTCCTATTTAGCATTCAGTCTAGAGAATGCAAATATAAGAAAAATTGCACCTCGTCTCTAAATTTATCAATAACAAAACCCTCATTGTCGACACTACGATCTATCCAACTACAACATATTTCATAATTAAATTTGAATTTAAATTTGACAATGTATATCAATATATCAACCTCAATAATCAAAATCTCAATAATTGTACACATTTCAATCTAAATTATAAACAAAATTCTTCTTTTATAGCATAAACATTGCTACATATATAAAATTAAAATTAAATTCAACATAAGAATTTTTTGGACTATCTAACAAAAATTTGATAATAAATAAAAAAAAGTTATTATGAAGGCCCCTCATTCACGGAAATTTCTTACATAATCTCAATTTAAATTTACAATGCATGTTAATATATTAACATCTATAATCAAAATCTCAATAATCATACACATCAATCTCTATTATAATTAAAAAACCTGAGGAAGCACAAAGACTTGGTGCAGGCACGGCTAGCAACGGACCTCCGTTTATTGGAGAATGAACCAGATCGGGAGGAGAAAGAGGAGAAAATGGGAGAAGTAAGAATCAAAAATCTTGAATAAGGATAAGACATACCTGATAGCCATGGCTACCGGTTATATAACTTATATTATTTTAAATTAATATAACATAATCGATAGCAACAAAATCTATTCGATTATATATTTATTTAATTAATATTTCTAACCAATAGTTAAAAAGTTGTTATTATATTAATATAATTGATAAAATTTTTGGCCATTAACAAGTTTGTTGAGAATATCATGGAAAAGCTACATAATGGTCACATTATTATTATCAATGGAATGTCGACTATATTAGTATAATTAATAAATTTTTAATTATTAATTATATTTTTATCAGTTAAATATTATCTTGTAATAATAAATTATGTAAAACCTCAAAATTAAAAAATTAAAATTAACATTTAAATTTATACTAAATAAAGATGAAATTTGAATCAAACTTCCAAACTTAGTAATTCATCCTTAAATGTTAAATATTTAGATTTAGTTGATCAAAAATTCAATTTTCAAAAAAATATCCCAATGTAAAAAAAAAAAAAAGTGAAATTTAACATTTTTTTATAGCATTTTCACCCTTTACAAAAGAACTCCTTTTTGACAAATTATTTACCATTAGAGGGTAAAAATTACTTCCTATTTGTTGGGTCGAGAATAATGACTATATATTTTAATTCATCAATCAAAGTATAAAAATAATGCAATATTGATACACTTATTCGACATGTTATTGAATTGTTAAATAAAATTCTCAATTTTATGATATTTTAATTTTTTACAGTTTATTAAAGATAGTTATTTATACTAATCAAATATAACCCTAGTAAAACCATCCATAAAAAATTGTTTCAAACCAAGCAGCTCGATCACTAATAAAACTATCCAGGTTTTTCATAACCATAACTAAGCAGCTCAATCATTTTATTTCAGCAAGTTCTCTTTCTTATCGCCCCCGTTTTAACACTGAGCCATGAATTGGCATCAAACCATCAATGGTAACAAAAGAAGGCAAAAGAAGAAGACACGCATTGGGAATTGGCATCATGCATCTTGTGCATTGGCATTTCCTTCTCCTGTTTCTGCTATGAACCACTTGTTAACACGTCCACGAGCTATCTCGACCTGAAAAGATAAGATTTTGCAAGTAAATAAACAGCAGGAACACAAGAAACGAAAGACAAAATACTGCTTTGGACATTGATTTTGGAATAAAAAGCTGTGTACCTGTTTATCCCAGTCGGTTTTATAGGTGATAATAAGAAGAATAACAGTCTGAACAAATGTTCCAAACAACATTCCTACCCAAATTCCCTGCAAAATTCAAGATGAATACAGTTTTAGAATGATTTTCCATATGTGCTTGCATGAAAGTAGTCACTTACAACAAACTTTAAACCTACTTTGAACACAAGACTTCTAACATAGAGATTTCAAGTTCAAATACTAGTAAAAATTTGAGGGGAAGACAATCTGTTTTTGTACTTGTGCAGTGCAATGTTTTGCGTGGAAACAAAAAACCAATAAAAGAAACAAAAGGAACTCACTTTAACTTGCATATTGTATATGTGACCAAGCACGACACCCACGGGAATCCCTATAAGGTAGTAGCAGGCTATGTTAACATAAGCTACAATGCTCTGCCAGCCAGCCCCAACAGCAACTCCTGTTGAGATCCCATGATTCATGAGAAGGGTAAAATCCAAAGCATTGCTGATTAAAAGGGGTAACCAATGAATTGGAAGTTTACCAGAGAGTACTGGCTGAACACTGTTTAGAAGTATGGAGAATGCCAACAGAGGAGATAAATCAGCAACTGCCATAGCCACTTCATGGCTTGTGGTGAATATATAAGCTAGACGTCCTCTAAGGAATAAGAACACAATGAATAGCACAAGTCCAATGCAAAATGATGTAAGAACTATCATTACAATTGAAAACTTTGCAGCCTTCGAGCTTCCTCTTCCGAGCTCATTTGACACCCTTACACTGGGGGTTTTTCCAAACAAAAAATGGAAAATCATAAGAGAAATTGTATGTTTCCTTCTTCTACACAAAATTTTCTCTAAGGTGCGTGTGATTATGCATTTTGAATGAACAATGTATTTAAGATATATATTGCAACTTCATGGATGAATTTAAAGTGGTAGAATCCTAGGGAAGAATTGTGAAAAAAAAGGGACAGATCATTTTCAATACAAAAGATATTGATTTCATCATCAAGGTGATGTTCGTTTTGTTCATGTAAATCATCTTAGCATAGTTATTTCACAAACAGTATATATACCTTGCCGCCGCCAAGAAACCAAGAGAGATCATCATTTCCCATCCATTAATATTCAAACTATCAACAAGAAGTAGCTCAAATTAGCTCGATATACTGTGTAATGGGAATATAGACTGAAGGAAAAGTTGGACCTGTTAAAGCAGATCCTAAAATAAAAGTTACCAGATAGCAAGAGCATCAACGGAGACCTCAGCATTTTTCAGGTTTCCTGTCAGAAGAACCAGGATTGTGTTGTACCACAGCTCAAGACTGCAAAAAAACAACAAAAGTTTTAACTCAAACACTTCAAATATGACATAAGAATTTGGCGAAAATTCTCAACTCACTAACACTGAGGGACAATCATAATAATATTTGTTATGACTGTGACATGATAATTTGAATGGACAGAATCATGAATAGTTCACACTTAAAATTTTCCCTGCTTTAATTTTAGAATGTGTCCTTAAAGGACTTCTGAGACTGTAAAGTATTGTTTAACTTCAGGTCAAGTAAAATTTGTTGCTCCATACTTGCCTAAGTATAGAAATATCCATGACTAAGCCTGTTCAAAAACAAAACAGTTAATCTGTAAAATGGAAAATTGTCGTAATTCAAAAACAATTGTACCAATCTCCATTTTATAGTTTATCCTTTATTTGAGGACTATTCTTGGTTGCCTCTTTATTAGCTAGGAACCCAATTTTCACAGCTAGAAATCTTACCAAAGCATGGTGCTGGATGACAAAGAAAGCTTTATCACTGGCCAGAGATCATTGAAAGCTAAAATTGAGAAACCTTTCCATGTTTCCTTACACCCACCACACATAACAAACATAAGCTGACCTAGATTCGGTATCCAATATGCTAAAATTGTTGAAGTCATTGCTCCCGCAAGCCCAAACTTGAAGTTCACAGTCAGAAGCCATGAAAGAAAGAGATGAATAGCAAGAGATGCAGCTGCCAAGTATGCAATAATCATGTTCTTGCTCTGTGATTGTAGGAACATTTGGCAGGTGAAGGATACAAGGAAGGCAAACAACACTGCAATAAACCAGTAAGAAATATCCCCTGCCACAGCCACAATGTTTGGATCCTGGCCAAGAGCTCTCATAATTGGTGCAGTGAAGATAAATAGAGGAAGAAGTAGGATTGCAGTGGCAAACAAAACTATCCATGATCGTTGAAGATATATTCCAAGCATGTGATATTGTTTGGCCCCATATGCTTGACCGCAAAGTGTTTCCAATGCAGTAGCCATACCTAACTGTAAATTAAAATTAGAAACATCAGACAAAAGAATCAACTGGAATAGTCCAAAGACCAAATAAGTCTCTTCTTTTTGATATATATCACCAATCCGGTAAAAAGCATGTTAGAACTAAGGGATTTGCAAAGATTTACCTCCTAGCAGCCTCATGCATGAATTAATCCTTGGTCAACAAGGTGGGAAGCAAACCCCCAGCTTGCCAACGAAGCCAACCCTTTTGTGAAAAAAACTTCTTTGTTTACAATATGAAAGAGCTTATAACTTGGTTTTCTCCTGATGGTTTATAAAAACTTAACCAATTTGTCCAAGTTTTAAAAGTATAATTAAGGCTGTCATAATATAAGCACTAAACTCCTGATGAAAGCTGATCTGCAGCCTGCAATCTTCATCCTATAGCTGGTACCCTGAAGGACCAGAGAAATAGACAAAGGCATGCCACCATCCAGCCTAAAGAAAATTACTAACTCAAGAAAACAACCATAGCCAAGTACTTACCAGCACTCCATTCCCAAATCTCACAAACACTGTTAACACAACTGAATAGGCAGCTAGCTCTGCAGGGCCAATGTGACCAATAAAGGCCTGACTGATGATGGTAACCCCAAATGTGGAAAATCTAGTGAAAATAGCAGGACCAGCAACTATCCACATCTTCTTGATCTCGTTCCATAACTTGTCTTTGAATTCCTCTTCCTCAATGTTAGTCTTCCCTGATGTTAAAAGCTTCTCCTTCATATCTCCCTTCATTTTCATGAGCTGTATTAATATCTTATTGTAACTGTCACAGGAGTGCACATGATTTTGATGAGAGGGAAACTAGAAAATACTAGATATATTGAGCCTTAATGACAGAGAACAATTTTGTCTCAGCAATAAACCCCTTTTATTAGAATGTAGGAACTTATATGCGCATTTTTTACCTTTTCTATCAATTGTTGAATTTTTTAAGGAAAGAATATTCTCCTTTAGATTACCTTGATTATAATAACAGAACCAAGGACTCGTTGATTTGAGTGACAGGAACTAGATTACCTTTAAATAAGGTCTCAAGTTTGAGTCTTATAAATGGAGAGATAGGCTCTTAAAAAGCTTCCCCCTTATGCAGCATATCTCTGATTGTATATTTGTGTTAACTGCTTAAACTACCTTTGTTATGTATTAAGCTATTTTTCCAATTTGCATAAATATCAATTTAGTCCATCACCTTTACCATAAATACTCAATATTGTCTCAACCTTTCATTTGGACCAGAAATAGTCCCACCTTTTTAAAATAATCGAGCCCAATCCTACCGTTAGTCACTTCCACTGGATTACTAATGAAAATCCTAGTTAGAATTTTGGGAGGTCACCAAAACTTTTTAATCAAAAAAAAACATTCTTCTTTCTAACATCAAACATATATATCGGTTTTTTTAACATTGTTGAACCCTGTATTTTTTTTTTGCTTTTGTGGAACTCTAAATATCATGTTTCATTTTTTTCACCTTCTACTTGATGCAAAGCCCCTACTTCAACCCTAAAAACTGTTGACATAACTTAATAGTTTAACAATGTAATAAATTTTATGTAGCCCAAATATTTTTTAATTGCAATTTGTCTTTCATCCAAATTATAGCATTCGCAACTTGTAATATATCCATAAACCCTTATCTGTAAAACCCAAAAAAATAAAAAAAATCCTAAACATTTTTCCAAAAAAAAAAAGTTATAATGTTAAAAGAATGCAAAATTTAGCTACAAAGTAATTTTAAGACAATAAAAATTAAAAGAAAAATTATATAAAATTCATATTGGACCTCCCAAAATTCCAGTTAAGATTTCCATTTGGAACTTAACAGAAGTAACTAACTGTCGGAGTAAGTTTAGTAATTTTTAAAATATTGGGGACCATTTTTGGTCCAAATGAAAGTTTAGGATAATATCTAGTATTTATAGTAAAAGTTAAGGACTAAATTTATATTTACCCTTTCAATTTTTTATTTGTACAGTGAGAGCTAATTATCTAATAGCCTCAACATCAAAGGCAAGAAAATCAATGGAATTAAGCCCCGGCCCTTGCCCCCAGCTTCTTGAAACAGATTTTGTTGAGAATGATATGTGATTTTTATTAACATGTAGCCAAAAGACATACTAAGTGACCAACAAGAGGTTGGATAAATTTGTAACCATTAATTTATAAATCTTGATTTGAAATCAAAATCACACATATGACTAACTTATGAGGTAAATAAATTTTTTTTTTAAAAAAAGGGTCATACTAAGTAGGGGTAGGTGGGCCTTAATGTGAAAAGAGATCTTACTGAATTATGTGTTGAACTATGACGAGGATGTTATTGAATTACACGTTGAAATTTCATTTCAAACATTTCAAAGACACGCGAACCGAGCCTGAGGCCCAATGGTTCGCCCCCAAGCTTTAGGGCTTGGGTGAGGCGGTGGTCAGCACTTCGAGTCCTACCATCGCCATGAACTCCATTAAAAAGCGGCGGCCGTGCACCTCATTTGAAGGGGTAGAATGTTCATCGATCTGGGAATCCCAATTTACTAACAACTAACTCATACTAACTTCTTAACCATTAGTCTTGTCAAAAAAAAAAAAAAAAAAAACATTTCAAAGACACACTGTTTATCCCAATAATTTATCCCACCCACCCCGCTTTATGCAACTATACATAAAGCAAAAATGCTGAGTGAATCGCATCCGCAGCTGGGCCTGCAATCGCATCATTTAGATTATGGGCACCACTATAATTTAAATTCTTGCGATATAATTCTTTTTCTCTCAATTTTTCATGTTCAAAAAAAAAAAAAAAAAAAAAAGGCTGAGTGAATCATAAGTTTTCATCCCTAGAGAAAAATGATGCAATTGCAACCGTCCAGTATGATAATTTTAAAAAATTCAAGAACCTGTCAACATCGACTTTTGCTTACTAAGATTAATTTACTGAAATTAGAGAAGGAAACACATTACGAATTTAATATTCATAAAATGATGTGATAAAGCTGAGTCAATTTGGAGCCATTGAAAAAACAATTTACTCAGACAACAGATTAGGACAAACTTAGCGGCATACACTGCACCCTTTGGATTAAAATAAGATTCTCCAATAAAATCTCCTTACTCCTCAATAATATATCAAGTACAAGCCCTCACCAAATCTATTGTCTCAAGGATTCAAATATATGAACTTAATTTGAACCGTGTGATCAAACAAATTAAGATGATCTCCTTAAAAATGATAGAGAAGTTTCAAGAAAAACCCATTAAATCCCTTGTGTTGTCAATGACTGTAACAACCAGACAAGAATCGACATCGTAAAAACAAAGACCATAACCCACAAGTAATAGTGGAGCAATTAATCAAAATGAAAAAAATCCCATTTGAGGCAATCAATATGAGAGAGTACCCAACAAGGTTTGATGCACAAAGAATGAAGCTTTATGTGGTTGAATTTATAAAGGGGCCTACTACAATTAACAAAGAAGTGAAGAGGAAAAACTTACAGAACTGAGATAAGCAGCAGAGAAAGAAGGAAATCCAGAAAGAGTAACTGGTAGTCAGCAGCTTACACTTCTTCTCCCTGCAAGTGTGTCGATCATGTAGGAAGACCGAAAGAAATTGAGCAACAACCGCGTGCCAGGAAGGATGGGAGGGCGCGGTGTTCTCTTTTCTATCACTCATTTACTCGTTTGTCCCCATGTTAATCCATTCAAGACGGTGATTCTGACCGTTGGTACAGTGCCCCACAGAGAGCAACGTACGCAAAAGCGACAGCAGGCACATGTTATGGTCACGCAATGAGCGATAATATAACAGCTTTTTAAAATGTACCTTTATTTTTTCTTTTCTTTTTTTTTTTTTTAACATGGGGAAATGCGAGCGAATGGTGAGAGTTCGATGCCCGTGAATTAAGGTAGTCGAAATTACAGATGTAAAATGTGTTTTTATTGGACATATTAATAAGTGTATTTTTTATAATTAATTTATATAAAAATAAAAATAATAATTAATTTTTTAATATTATTATTAAGTAAATATTTTTAATTAATTAATTAAATTTAAATTAATTTTTTTTATTTTTTATATCAATTAATTATAAAAATATATATTTATTATATTTTTAATTTGTATTTTAAATGTATAAAATAAAAAAATCTAATATAATTAATTTTGTTTAGTTTAATTATTAAAAATAGTTAATAATTTATAAAATAATATTTTCAATTATTATAATAAAATTTTTTAAAAATTATAAATTAATAAAATATTAAACAAACTAGTCAAATTTTATATGACTTTATTTTGTTTTTGGGGGCAACAATCACTCCCATAACCATTTGTTAGAAAAGTTGGTGAAAGTTTTTTTTTTTTCTTATTCTTCTTTCTTTTTGATAGGTGGGCAAAGTTTTCCTCTTTAATTTAGAACAAAAAAATGATTGGGAAAAATAAAAACTTAATATTTTAATTTTATTTTTTATTGTTATTTTAACGCATAAAAATACAAAATTGATCTTTAAAATCTAAATAAAGGCGAAAGTTGGAAACGCGCCCTTGGTTCTTGTTGTCGTCTCTTTCCTGGCCCTTTATTAAATGTCATCTGACTCCACTGACGTGGAAAGGTTTATTCGTCTTGGATCCCGAAAATAAAACGTTTTTTTAATAAAGGTATTATGGGTTTAATTTTGATGATATTAGTTTGTAATTGTAATTATTAAATTTTTTATTTTTTAATATTTTAAAAATATATAAAATATAATTAATATTTATTTTTATTAATATTTTATATTTTTTAAAAAATAAAAAAATAAAAATTAATAATTAAAATATCAATAAGCGTCGTCTAACAAGGCTCCATCATAAAACAGAAAGTATTGAATATTTTATGAAAACTGGGGGTTAACCTAAGGCAGAAGCTAGAAATGTCAGGATAATAATTGCTTGTTTTTTATATTAATTAAAATTTTAAAAATAAAAAGTAATATTTATTTGATCAATTATTTAGTTAGAAGGGTTAGGTGCAAATTGCTTATTAAAATTATTGTATTAAAATAAATTACTACTTAAAAAAATTATTAATGTAATTTATTATCTCAAATTTTTATTTTTAAGAAATTAATCAAAATCTAATGGTTATCATTAATTTTTCATTAAATTTTAAAAGTAATCGTTTAATAAAAATAAATGATAATTGTTAAATTTTAATTGGTTTTTTTAAAAATAAAAATTTAATATGGCAAATTACATTAACATTTTTTGAAGTGATAATTAACTTCCACATAATAATTTTAGAGAGTAATTTGCATATTTGACCTAGTTAAAATAAGTTACGCAATATCAATAACATATATAATGTTAGATTTTATATTTTCCTATTCAAGTTATCGTAAAAAAGTGCATTAATTGCATTAGATATTTGTTAAAAAAATTTAGAAGTAAAATATAATAAAAACAAACAAGACTAGGCTCTTGTTTACTTATTTTGAACAAGCTATAGGATATAGAAAATTAGAAATGCTATAGATGTAATATTATGTGAAGTTATAAATTTATAATAATAATATTATAGTAAATAATTGGATAAATATAATATTATGCATTACTTTAAAAAAGAAAGAGTAAGTTGTGTTAACATATTATAATTATAAATTTAAAATATTATATGGCATTATAAATATTATAATTTTAAACAGTAAGTGTATAATAGTTGATAATGTTTAAATTATAAACAAAAGCAAATGTTAATCATTGAAAATCTATTATTAGCTATAAATCATTCAAAGCTATTAAACCAAACCGAACCCAATCAAGTCAAATGTATACTCTTTTCATTGGAAGAGGAAAAAAATATTGCCTATGCTTTGGTTTAGCTATTTTGAATAACTTGTAACTAATATAGTGAATGTCTAACTATTATTATTGTTTAAATTATAAATAACAAAAAATATTAATTATTATCAATTTGATTAAAAGTTTTTATTTTATAATTTAAATTATATTAAATTATAAAAGTAAAGTTATTAGATAAAAGATAACTTCAACATTAGAGAGTTGTATTGGACCTTAAAATTAAAAAAAAAAAAATTTAGTATCTATTTCTTCATTTAAAGGATTCAAATTTAAAATTTTATGTTAAAAAATTGAGATCATTTCATTTACATTAATAAATTGTTAGTGATTAGTTATTACTTATAATTAAAAATAACAACTAATAGCTATTAACGAAACTACAACCAAAACACTCTGGTAGGCTGATTTCCCATTTCTGCTGGTAATTGATATGCTATACTATTTTGTTGTGATCTAGTAGCAAGGGCGTACATGCAAGTCTTTACTTCAAGCCCGATCACTGACTTTCATCCTTTCATCCTTCCTTTTCCCTTGGTTTGTAGTATAATGTAATTATCTTTGTTAAAAAAAATTGGCAGAAGGTGCAATTCAGCCCCTCTACGTCCATTGTTGTGGCGCATCAGCCCCTCTACCTAAAAGTAGAGCAAATCAGCCCCTCCACTTGACAAAACCGGCAAATCAGCCCTTCTGCTGACGATGACCTCATCAAATGTCATCTTTCCGTCCACATCCTTGTTACTCCGTTACCAAAAAGTGGCTTGGTCATCTTTCCGTCCACATCCTTGTTACTCCGTTACCAAAAAGTGGCTTGGTGCTGATATGACATTGAGTGAGTGATGTGGTCAATTTAAATTCCAAAATTACTAAAGAGTCCTTATCTACTTCCTTTTCTTCTATTCATCTTCTCTCTCCTTCTTCACAGTCTCTCTCTTCGTATTGCAGATTTACTCTTTTTTTTTTTTCAATAGTTTAAATTGAAATTTTTTTCAGATAAATCTAAATTACAAAAATTATTTAAAAACCCTCAAAATATGAAAATATAAAAGTTAAAAAAAATTTCAAAATTAAAATAAAAACTTGTGGCTTTGTTGACATCAAGTAATTTGCTCATTAAGTTTCCATTTCCAATAACCCAAAATCTACCTCACTTTATTTTAAATAAAAATACATGTAATATTTGTTTATTTTAAAAACTATCTCAAAAATAGATTTATATATTTTTAATAAAAATACAAACTTAAAAAAAATAAAAAAGAAAAAATAATGGATTCATATGTATCCCTTTACTC